CATCGATCCAGTCGAGAAATACTCCATCTTGAAGCAGTCTTTGGAGGGTCAGGCGGCGGCTGAGATAGCACACCTCGAATTCACGGCGGACCAGTATCAGGTGGCGATGGATGCAATCGCAGCAAAGTTCGGCTCCGCCAGGATGGCAGAGAGGGAGCATGTTCAGCAGCTTCAGAGACTCTTCCAGTCCAGGGACCTCCACATGAACGATAAGTTCGTGAAGTTTGTCAGCTTGTTGTCCCAGAATGTCAAAGCGCTAATGTCGTTAGGGAAAACCTATGAGTCCCTCTCGTTGTGGGTAACGCCCAGCGTTCTCAGTACGCTTCCCGTACAAATGGGAGAAAATTTCAAACGATTGAATTTCGAAGCGCTAGATGGGGCAAACTCGGACAACGTTCTGAAAATTCTTCTAGAATACCTAGATAAAGAGGCAGCAATTAAAAGAGACTCGAGACCCTCCGATCCACATAGACCTAGCAATTTTCGGAGCGCAAATCAGAGTAGGGATTTCAGCAGTAGCAATTCGAGCAGGCAGCCAGCAGGTGGATCGGGAGGTTGGCTCAGTAAGAGAAACGAGACCACTCGGAGCAACGTGGCTTTTCTCACGCAGAACGCGTCGGTAGATCACTCCTGCGTATTTTGTTCGAGCTCCAAACATGAGAGCAAAGATTGCAGGAAGCCCTTGTCCTACGAGGAGAAAGAAGAGCTGTGTGAGAGGAGCAACGCTTGCTTCAAGTGTCTCCGCAGGAATCACTATGCGAAGAAATGCAGATCTCGGGGCGTTAAGTGCGACAAGTGCAAGCGGAACCATTATCCAATAATGTGCGATGCGCGTGCGGGAGCCACTCAGCAAGTAAAATCATTCTCAGCTCAACTAGCGTCCAGCGCGGGCGCACGCGAGGTGAAATATTTCCAGACCGGACAGTTGTGGGCAAACGGCGTGGATCGTAGGCGTATCTGTCGTTTCTTCTTGGACACGGGGGCAGAACGCTCATATATCTCTCAACGCGCAGTTGAATCTCTAGCCCTCAAAGCATCGGGTCGCGAGAATTTAGCTATGATCACGATCGGCGGCGCGGTGTCGGAATACAGGGCCTATGACGTATATCATCTACGGCTTCAGAGCAAGTTCAGTGATCGGGATTCAGTCCTTCTGTCTTTAGTCGGCATCCCGGAGATAGCGAGAGGAGAGTTTCCGGTCATGAGGGAGTCTTTCGGTTTGAGACCATTGGCGGATGATGACACCGGCCCATCGGGTCTCGGGGTGGACATCCTTATCGGGCAGGATTTCCTGGCGAAGGTCTTACGCGGAGAAGAACGGGTCTTCGAGGATCGCGTTGTGGCAACCAGCACCATATTCGGCTGGGTGCTGGCGGGCAAGGGAACGTCCGCTAGGAGCACATTGGCAGATACTTCAGCATTTCTAACTTCCAACCTGTATCAGCCGGGAACCTTCATTGGTTCTGAGGTTGTGAATTTGACATCGCTGGTCGCATTGGGAGCAGACCCGTCCAGCGGCCCGGAGATGAGAGAAACAATAGCTAGGAGTCCAGACGAGGAACTGGCATCGGATTTACAGAAGCTATGGTCGACAGAGCTCTTGGGAATTGAGGCCCAGTCGGACCTCAGGGACGCCGGGGAGAGCTCAGCATTGAGAGATTTCTTTGAGAACAATATCAAGCGCCAGGACAACGGCCATTACATGGTCAGTCTGCCCTTCAAGAGCAAGAGAACGCTAGGCGATAACGAGGATATTGCTCGCGGTAGCCTGAATCGCCTACTGGCCAAAGCGCGTAACAATGGGGAACTTTTGAGCTCGTTGGACGACGAGATGAGAAAATACGTCGAGAAGGGTTACGCAGAAATCGCAGAGCCGAAGAAACCGAATGAGCTCGTTCATTATCTCCCGCTCTTGCCAGTTATCAAACGAAACTCCGATGCGGAGATTGTCAAAGTCAGAGTTGTCAAGGATGCAGGCGCGCGTAGGAGAGACGAAGCGGCTCTCAACGACGTACTGGTCTGTGGAGACAACTTATTGCCCGATGTCGTCCAAGTCCTGTTGAGGTTCAGGCAGGGCGATATCGCGATAGTATCGGACATAGAGAAGGCGTTCCTGCAATATAAGATCCACCCGGACCACAGGACCTTTCTGCGTTTCTTTTGGCCTCTGGGCATCAGCAGAAACCCGCAGGCGCCAATCCGGGAGTTCTGGAGCACAGTCCTGGACTTCGGGATAATCTCAAGTCCATTCATTCACTGCGCGGGAATCAAATATCATATCGGTCAGCTCATGGAGCAACATCCCGAAAGATCCAGTCTTCTGCAAGATATCGACCGGAATTTCTATATGGACGACCTTGTGACATCGGCGAATTCGGTCTCGGAGGGTCGCGAGATTTTCGAATTCATGTTTGACGCATTCAGTGCGGGCGGTTTCAAACTCCGTCGGTGGGCAACGAACGACTCAGTCTTAGCAGCCGAAATGCGGAAAGCGGACAGAGACCCTGATATCCAAATCGTTAGCGACCAACCCGATTTCAAGTTCCTAGGCGTTAGCTGGAATCAGCCCTTGGACAATTTGTATATCGGCGTTCAGTCTGCATTGGATACTCTCGGCTCTAATCCACCGTCGAAACGCACTCTGCTGAGAGGGACGGCACAGATTTTCGATCCACTCGGCTTTATTTCACCGGTCACGATTAAGGCAAAGACCTTATTGCAGTCACTGTGGCGTCAAAAAATTAACTGGGACGATGTACTCGTCAGGGAAAATTTAGAATCATTCGAGGACTTTATCAGCACGCTTGGAGAAGCGCGCTCCGTGTTGATAAACAGAAACCTCCTACGCATCTCGGCCAGT